AGAAAATCATATGAGAACGGCAGCTCCACATATAACACATTCACCCATTTTGGTATATCGAATGGTTTAACCGATTCTGATATTCACGCAGCCAAGCACCACATGGAGACCAATTAATATCATCAGGCAAAATATATGCAAAAAGAAAAAAAGAGAAAAGAAAGGAAGAGAAAGAAAGAAAAATAGAAGACAGGCACGTCACTAACATGAAATTAACAACAAATTAAAAATCACAATCGATAATAATTATGCAACAATTATAATGAAGCATAGAAGCAGCTACTATCATATACTTAAACATGATTTAAATCATCTTTATACTTAATTAAGAGCTGAACCAAAAGATACATCAACTGACAACTTAGAAAAACAAGTACAAATCTAAAGACACTTTTTTTTGGAATATCATGTGTGTCACAGGAAATAAAGACTACTTAAAAAATGTTCTATAATTGATAAATTTAAATCTAAACCTGATAAATCTACTACAGAAGAAAAGAAGTGGGGGGAAATATGTTCTAGAAAAGAAATTCTAAGTAGTATATTTCTCACACACCTTTCCACACTAATGACTGAAATAGGATTCATATGCAGAAATAAGACCTATGGATAATATTCACAACATCCATATCTAATATACACTTATCTTACGTAACACTAATTTTATTGACTTAATGCTTTTGGTCCTGATATACTAAAATCACTGATCACTAATCTGGCTGAAACAATCAATAGAAAAAATATATATATACGATATAGTTCATGCAAATATTCTATAACCCTAAAAAATAATTGGAGAGAGAGAGAGAGAGAGAGAGAGAGAAAAAAAAAAATCTAAATGGACTTCACAATCCACAATGTTCATAAAACACAAAAGTTAAATGCAGACTAACCTTTGTGTATTCTATACACTTATTATCTGTGCAGGAGCTACTACACCAGAAGCAGTTGTAAGTATTGAAGACACAAGAATGGCAAGATGTTTGGGTGTTGCACAGCGCAGTGAAATTATGTTTTGCTGTCACTGCTGGGCATACATCGTATGCTTTTTTATCTTTTAAGTCAATTGATTCACAGCGTGCTAAGATCCTGCAAGGAGAATATTAAGGACATTGTATTAGCTGTATCATCTTGCACAAATTGTTTTACTATATATTCTATTTCCACTCTTTTAAGATATCAGCTACATGCATGACTGTCAGTGATAAGTAGGTTTCCAGAACTACTATACCAATATCTATTTGCTTACTAAGACTAAGATGTAGTCACAGAAACATTCCAGACCCACAACATAACTATGTAACTTTATAATGTTAGCCCTATATTTTTTCTCATTATATGAACTTCATTAGATAATTAAACAACTGGAAAAGCATGCCTTAAATGTCAATGACTTTCCTCTATATATAACTGCCCTGTTTTGAAACTACATAATTTACTTTTTGAATTTGAATGTTTGGTGATAAACTAGCTGGACAGCCAGAAATAGGGTATTTTAAGCAAGCCTGTTTGGTGTTCTGTAAGCCATCATTAACCACAACACATAGGCTAGAGTGTGCAGTGTAGCCCATAGGGGCCTGAATGTTTATTTTTTTTTACAACTTCTTATATTATCCCATCTGGCACAGATGGCAAGAATACATGCCATGCCTCCTGTAATATAAGTTTATTTATTGCATTTACACATAGATGATTCTGCAAGTGCTAGTCAACAAGGAGCCAGTTATTAGTCCTATCTATTACACCTGTTTACCCTTTTCCTTGATTTTTGGAAAGTGGCTTTTGTATTCTTTCATTGTCTTTAATATTACTATTAAGACTTTAATAACAAATTGATAATCATAATATCAATAAGAATAATAACAGTACTGATATCAATATTATCAGAAAGAAAAGCATATTTCCCACCAATTCAGGGAATGAGGAAATCAGGATTGGGTCCTATTGCTAGACTCCTTGCTGGCTGAGCACATATGGAACCATCTAAGCGCGAAAACAAACGCGCGGCGAGCCAGTGATTCAGGCTGATGTACCAAACTCACGCGCTCAAAGTCAGTGCGCCGCCATTGTTTGCCAGAGCGTAGAGTTTTTATTTTTTTATTTTTTTGTTTTCTTCACCTGTTACCATTGGGTTAAGGCTTATCAAATTAGATAAAAGAAGGAGAAGGGGGGAGGGGGGGGGGAAGTAAATAAAAGTAAATAAATAGAAAAACATAAATGTACAGGACATGTGTTAACTTACCTATTCCATACACACTTAACACCTGGGTATGCTGTCAAACACTCTTCGCTTGATGTTAACCTGGGTTCACAGCTGAAATACAAAAAGAATCAATCAGTAACAGGTAATATAAAAGATAATCATAATAAAAGTAATCTCAAAATGTAAATAATAAGACAAATAAAGTTTCTTTCTGTGCAAATCAAGGAAGATTCTAAGCAACTGATTGATTTTATCTAAAGGTAAAATTCACTCCAAAAAACATATATCCTCAACATCAGTACTAAAAGGATCCATTATAATAGCACTTTCTTGGTCGAAATACTCACTCTCCTGGATGGTATTTCAGCACAGAGCCCAACATTTTGCCGTTGAAGCCCCCAACAATGTACATCTCCTCCTGGTGAAACACTGCTGTGTGTCCATACCTTGCAACATCAAGGTACAGGTTGGGGGGTTTTCGCATTGTGTGCCACGAATTACAGCTTATGTCGTAGGCCAAAAAGTCCGCACTGTAACACTTTGCACCGTAAGAATAGGCTGTGTCATTATGCGTATTTCCTCCGAACACCAGCATTAAACCTTTAAAAAGGACGGCAGAATGCAAGAACCGAGGCACTGGAGCCGGGGTTCGCAGTTTCCTAGATGGGTAGAAAGGGAAGAAAAAATTATAATCTAAATTACTCACATCATGTCATTACAAGCTTTAAAATTAAAATGTCATAAATTTTTGGGTAATACTAGAAAAAAATTAAATTGAATTCTTCTCCACAATAAAAATAACATAATAGCACTGATAATAACTGAATAAAGATATGGAAGAAGGGTAGAGAAAGAAAGAAAAATAGAATTAGATAAGAAAAGAAAGCTTGAAAGAAAAACTGCACTCTTACCATATGTGTTTGACAGGATCATAAGTCATCAGATAGGGCACAACATGACTGGTGGAAGTGATGGAGAGCAGACCACCATGGACGTAAACAAGAGAGGTCACAGGATCCCAGACGGCCGTGTGACCATAAACACCACTCACCACCGCACCTCGTGTTTCTATGGTTTCCCAGTTGCCTTGCTCTGAAATCAGGTTGGGAATAGTAAGCTTGCAACTAACCTCAGACATCAATGAGAACAGGGGTATGTATACCAACAACCTACAACTCTGAGGAATACAGACTTTGAGAAATGCAGAGGTCATGTCATGGCTCCTCAGACAGTTTGGGACAGTGATTTGATTCATGTGGTATTTAGTTTCCTTGATAGGAGCACCACCACTGCCCTATACTACCTACTTACAATGGTTTATATTGCTAGATAACCCTATTTCACCTCTAAATAAACAGTGTATGAGACCAGCAACTACAGAATAGTGATAATGCAACATAACATTAACTTGCCATATGAACTCTTAGTACGTTACTCATTTTAAACCATATCTGCCAGGCCACACCTATTGCCATCATAAGAAACAGACTCATCATGCTGGCTATAGGCAATGCAGTAGAGCATGTTGAGCAGAAAGTTCCATGTAGTAGACTCCTAGGCCAAACAGCAGGATGACTGCAAGAAGTCATCAGAGACACCAAGAGATTTGTGATACCATCATTGAGGGGTAAAAAAGAAGAAGAACAGTCTTAATTCCCTTAACCATACAATGATGGTACCAGAAATCTCAGGGTATCACTCATTCTGGTGACTGCTGGCAACTGTCTAGTCTTTTAGCCGGGGAGTCCGCTACGTATAGCAGAACTTCCCACTCATCTTGCTTTATGATGCCTATAGCTGTGCCCATCACGATGAGCAGGTTGTCATGATGGCTATAGGCAATGCCCAGCTATAAGAGGTTAATAATTTATACCATTTTATGTAAAAAAATAAACTTAATGTCAGCATAAAACTTAAAGATACAAATAAAATTTGAACACAATTAATAGCTGAGAGAAATAATAATGTTGTAGCAGGGTAACTTTTCAAATCATATATATACATTAAACAAAAGAAGTAACAAGGGATTTCTCTGCATACATTTATTTTCAAACTGATTTCAAAAATAAATAGAAAAAGCAATGGTTAACTAGAGAGTCAGTTTAGAAAAATTCAACATTGTAAGCAATTTCTTTTACACAACCTACCAGAATTATAGGACTTTATATGTAAATTTCACATAAACTATAGACTGTATAGGAATCTAACCTTCATGTATATCCACAGTTTTTTCAATCAATTAAAAAAATAAATAAGAAAAATGGTTAACTAGAGAGTCAGTTTAGAAAAATTCAACATTGTAAGCAATTTCTTTTACACAACCTACCAAAACTATAGGACTTTATATGTAAATTTCACATAAACTATAGACTGTATAGGAATCTAACCTTCATGTATATCCACAGTTTTTTCAATCAATTAAAAAAATAAATAAGAAAAATGGTTAACTAGAGAGTCAGTTTAGAAAAATTCAACACTGTAAGCAATTTCTTTTACACAACCTACCAGAATTATAGGACTTTATATGTAAATTTCACATAAACTATAGACTGTATAGGAATCTAACCTTCATGTATCTCCACAGTTTTTTCAATCAATTAAAAAAATAAATAAGAAAAATGGTTAACTAGGAGAATTACAACATATGCAGAAGCTAAATGTCACGAATGATAATAATTCACTTCTTACCGAAATCATACTCTTGGACTGTGTTTAAATATCCATATCTGGAGGAATGCCCAAAGATGACGAGCATAACATTCTTCTTCACCTTCTGCACCACCACGGCCGCATGCCCCACACAGGGTATGGGTGCACAGGGCCCAGGCGACGAAGACAAGCAACCCCCCGACTCGCTCCCATTCTCCCTCTTTGGTGAATGGTCGCTCGCCTCTCCGTCCTCCTCCGCGAAATCCTCCTCGTCTCCCTCCCTCCCCTCTCTTCCTTCTCTTCGGCTGCTGATGTTCTCTTGCCTATTTTCTCTGCTCCTCCCACTTCTGTTGTTGCGTCTGTTCCCCTCCCGACGTCCCAGCCTCTTGCGCCCATTCCGGCTCTTGCCTCCTCTGGAACTCTTTTCCGAGGGGACCAGTGACCAGGCCAGGGAGGAGGTGTCTAGCTGCCAGAACTCTCGAGTGATGGTTCCGTCCTCCTTCATGCCTCCGTACATGTATATCGATCCCTGTTGGAAAACAAGGCCAGGCAAAGGGTAAACAAAATTACCAAGATGATGAAAAGATTAATAACTTCTGAAGAATATGAAGAAGAGGTTATCGTATCTCTTTTCTTCGTTTCAGACAGAAATCACAAATCGACAAACTTGCAAGTGTAAAAATACAGAGGCTTTAGACTAACATTATACACCACCGCTGAATGCCCGTATCTTGAGGCTGGTTTCTTTATGCTCCGACTCTCCAAAGCTCTCCAAGTGTCTTCTAAAATGTGCAAGAAAATAAAATTGTAAAAACTAAAATCAATTACCTATAGTCTATCTTTTAAAAATTAAATAAGCATTTCACCAACAAAATTTCTGTACAACTTGTTGAAGATCAATACTTTTAAGAAATGAAAAAGAAAAGAAAAAAGTGAATAGGACTCACCTGTAATATTGTATTTTAAAACAAAAGGCTTTTCTGTGAAGGAATATCCCCCTATGACCCAGATTGCATTATTGATAAGGACAGTGGCATGTGACCCTCGCTCTAGCATGGAGGAGAACGGATCTGGATTGGTCAGCTGGCTGGTGATGTCGTGACCAACCACTTCCCACCATCCCTCCTCTATGACCTGACTGCAGTCCGCACCTGGTGGGAAGGAGAGGTCAGAGCTCGAGAAATTTCTTCTTAATGAGTATGCTACGCTGTGAGTGATCGTATACTAAAATCCATCCTTTACTTCTGCTCTTTTTTGGAAGAAATTTGAACGGTGAACATCCTGCAGAAGCATTGAATTACTTTGTGTACAACTTCCAAGACCCAAATCGGCACTTGGGTTCTAAATAATAATGATCTATAATCATAATAAGTATTACAATCACACAAGTATTATAACAAACCTTTCTCTTTAGTCCATCATTCCATCCTCACACAAGAAATACCCTTTCCAACAAGAGACAAAAAGCGTAAAATTTGGTCAATGTACACTACCTGTATATCCCTGATGGCACTGGCAGCGGTGTTCCTCCGGTTTGCATTGGCCGTTGCCTGAACAGCCTTCCGGGCAAACTGGCACCGAGCAGGCAGGTCCCCCCCAGCCCGCATCACACGTACATATCCCCTCCAGGCAAGCACCTCTGTTTGAGCATTCCTTGCCGACAACTGTGCTGGGGCAACCGTCAACTCTGTGATGGCCAGAATAGTTTGTTATGTAAGAGCAGTATTAATAATGATCAACACTCTCTTATCTACAGTTTATTGTGCATATAATTTACTCTATTCAAACTCTAATATACTCTAATCAAAATAGTAATTCATAGATATGTATATAAGTAATACTGTATAAGAGAGAACTTCATATCCCAAGAAAAAAAAACAATTAAATCCTTTAAACTATAGAATCCATTTATAAAATAATAGCAATATTAGTATTTATCAGTGGACTAAAGAACAAAAATATGGCAACTGGCATTCTCTGGACAAGACATAGCAAAAGTTGTCCAAAACAAAGATCCCTAATTATCAGTATCATCAATATTAGAACAGTTTCAGCTATAGCAATTTGTTAATCAGCCATTCTGATTTAATGATCTGCCTTTCAGCACCAAGGTGGAATCCTGGAGCTTCCTTAATTTGAATATGTCAATGCCCTTTTTGACAGATCAGCTGTGAATGGCCTAGAGGGGTTCTTGTGATCTAGAACGAATTCAAGCAAGCACTTCTGATCTGTTCTCTCCTTTTATAGACAGATGTTGGGCCAACAAATCCTTATGAATATAATGATAATACATATTACTTCCCTTTTCTTCTCTTCTTTGTCATTATCTTACTTATCTACCATCTTGCAAAGGCATCAAAATCTAAGAGTTAAAACAGACAGAAATTCAGAAAAGAAAGAAGCTTTCCTTTCCCTTCTGTACAGACACGAAACACCAAACCCCCACAGCTGTCTTTTAGAAGGTTAAACAAAAAATGCTGTTGAGACATAACTCCTCATCTCCTGTACCTGCAACTTACCTATAAGATATTGAGAATCCTGTTAGGTTGTAAGCTGCATCCGAATAAAAGTATAGCAGTGCGTAGCCCGACTTGGCTACCACCTCAGGTATGTGTGGTACTTGGTAGTCGTCCTGGACCACCATGCCA